GGGGGTTCAGGGAGGTGGTGGAGATGCTCTCAGGTCTGAGGGGTTTACGGATGCTCGTCCTAATCAACCTTCTCCAACAGCTACAGTTTTATGAGCAGTCATTTCACCCGACTTTCACGGCACTCTGGTGGTCATTGACCTCCGGCAGGTTGCTCAAGGTTAGGTAACCGTGCTCGGCTGTGAGGTGTCGTTCAACAGGAGTGTGTTTTTCTTCTAATGACAAAGAGGTTAGAGATCATCTGAATCCTCAAACAAGATGTGCTCTCCTGTTCTTACATTCAAAAACACTTTTTTTATGGAGCGTTAGACATAATTACGTAACTTTACTTCAAAACCGGGACATTAATACTATATATACTGTATATATAATTCAATAATATATTTAAACTACTGGAGTTTAAAAGTATATTTTTAAATAATTTCCCCAGCCTTATATATTCAAAGGAATATTTATGTCATTTTGGGGATGACGCTTATTATTTTCGCCTGTGTGGAGATCATGCGTTTTATCGTGTATGTGTTTGCGTGCGAGTATGTTTGTCTGTCACGGCTAATCTCGCACACTGCCTGACCCATCGGCATAATATTTTCTGTGCTCATTTATGACTGTATGCTCAAGGATCTCTTGTGGTGACGGGGATTCACACTTTTTGAAAGACCTATTTTATTAACTGTCCCGTTTGCGCCACAAGTGCATCTGTAGCAAAAGGCTTTTCCGGCAGTCGGCTAGGCTAAAAACAAGCCTCACCTTGTCTGCAGGCCACATTTTGACCGTTGCGTAATTCTGTATCCGATCGGTTTTGATCCCTTAAAGTTAGCCACGATGCGTTGTTATCTTCGCCATCTGGAATCTAAAGGGAGCCAGTCGGGACAATCGAGCGAGATTCAACTCGTTTTTGGAGGGGAGAGGGAGACACACCTAGTTGAGATCTGCACTCCGCTGAGTCAACTTTTCTAGTTTGGTATGTGTGCGCTAACTATGGGGCTGGAGGCGATTAGCTTAGCATGAAGATAACTAACCTGGCTTATTGAGTTTTAAAAATATGCCAATACCGACACCTATAAAATCATACAATTTAACACTTTGTGTCCCGTTTTTGTAATCCCTATACAAACTTCATAGTAAAAACAGCAAGTTAAGTGCTGCAGCACATTTAGACGACCAATTAGCAGCCAGACAGAAACATGACTCAGCTATATTAAGGAGAACTGGATACCGCTTTCAAACATGGCTCCCCATTCATTCCTATGAAAGTTGCTCCCTGGGTGCATTTCATTTATGTTAATACAAAAGCCCGTGCTTATCAGTCCCAACCAGCAAACTGTCTTTAATCACATTCATACACCATGACTCTCTTTGCATCAGATTCAATGAATCACTTCTTGTCTTTTAATGTCTGTTTAATGGTTTTTATTTGGCATTTATACACTGGTGGTGACATGACACTACAACAACTCCAGCCTCGTGGGACGATAAAGAACATATGTGCATTCCTCAACACACACGTGCCTTCAGGGTTTCCTGAGGCGACATTCAATGATGTCAACCCGTCACCTGGCTTAGGGCCGACTTACTGTGACTGTCGTGTTTTGTCATTTGTCCTCACTGACAGTATTTGCGTGTGACAGGCTTCAGGTACACAGTTGCTGCACAACAATACATATTTCTGGTGTGTCACCGTTGCCTATCAGTGCTTGATTTGTCTTATTTCTGTCTCAATTTCTCTCATATACACACACCTCTTCTTGCTCTTAGCTCGTCACTGTAAAGGTTTAAGGCGTGTTTCTCTTCTAGTCATTGTCTTCCTCGTCTCTTTCAGCCTCTTGCCACGTATCTGGGTGCAGTTGCTTCATCATACAGACCCTAAAGCTGAAAACATCCGAAGGGGAAAACAATATGTGACCTCCTCGGCACAACGCACTGTATTTTTCTGTTTCTGTCTTGGTCTTTGTGCACATCTGAGGAGAGAGATGTGTGTTGGGGGTTGTGCTTCACGAGGTGAGGTGACAACCTGGTTTTCTCACTTTGCTAATTAGCCTTGAAGATCAAACAACCAACAGCAAATGCATAAAAAAAACTAACGACCCCCCCCCGGAAACAATTAAGATACTCCCAATCTGTCTGGGACTTATTGCTTTGTGCCATCCGACCTGCTCGCCATCAGACACCTTAGAGGGGGTACAAAGGTGTCTCCCATCGGAGTATTCTCTCCGTCTGCTCATTATACTGAAATCAGAGGCACATGTTTACTTTAACTGGTTTGTCAGAGGTGAAGTGTACCCGCACTTCACTCAGCATCTGTTTCACGGTATCTGTGGTCTTGCACAAGAAGACTAGATGGGAGCTGAAAAGTGTGATAAGATGCAGATTAAGATCCGATTGCTGCATTCAAAGCTCTGTGATTTCACACGGAGGCGTCTCGTCTGGATGAGATGAGCTCAGATTAACGAGACGAGATGAAAAAAACATAATGTCTATAAGCAGCCTCAGACTCAAAGGAAAAATAACCTAGAAATCATTAGAGAAAACAAAATAGATGATACAATTCTAAATAAAGTAACTATTTTTGAGCAAGTAGTATAGCAGCATCCTTTACCATCAAGAATACTAGCCATTATCAACTGGACATTAACCCCTATGAAATGCGCTAACCAGTGTCATTTATTACATAATTTAGTTGTAATAAAAAGCCATACATTATTGTGTCTTCACCATCCATTGTTTAAAACATATACAAAACATACAGAAAAGTAGGTCTCGTATAGTCATATGCATCCAGACATTCTGGCAAGTCTTCCTCTAGGTCTCGGGTCAATATTTAAGACCTTTGTTCCAAACCATGGAGTCTATGACGCTCGCGAGCTACTGTAGTTTTGTTTTAACCTGTGGATACATTGCCACCTACTGGTCAAAACAATGTCAGTGTCACAGCGCGGTACCGTGTGAAAGTGTGATTATCAAAATGAAACTGACTGTAGACCATTGAGATTAGGCTAAATATAGCGCTGCTTAATCTTGACAAATCTACTAATTTAATTCTAGAAGTTAACTTGTTTATTTTTATTCCAAGAAGTGTGTCTGTCGTCTCTGTCGTTGCAGTCGGAGCCAGATAGGAACCATCATCTGTTGCTTGTTTCCCCTGGTGGAGGCGGACGAGTTGCTGGAGGAGCAAATCAAAATGGCGAGCCAAGAGGAGTCTGTGAGGGAGTTCGTCGCCGTTACCGATGTGGATGAGGAGAGGGCCCGCTTTTTCCTTGAGTCCGCCGGCTGGAATTTGCAGGTACGTCTTTTCTGCGTTTCTCCGTTGCGTTGCGGTGGACTGTACGACAGGAAGTCAATCGGAAACAGCACTGATACGACATGTGTCAGGCGAATAGCTTGACGGCTAACATTAGCATGTGTTGCCGGTAATTTGTGCAAGTCACCATTTGACAATGGCCCGAGCGCTTTGTCACCAAACAACTAGGGTGTTTTACAGTTCGGCAGCGGGCGCGGCCACGAGCCCTTAAAGGTCCTTTGATGATGTCTCATTGCAAAGCAGGTTGCCATTAAGTTTTGGCTAGCGCAAGTCTGCCGTGAGTCCATTGAGCCGTGCTAGCTAGCGTTAGCACGTAACGATGTAACGTTATCGCTAGATATTAGTGATACTTATAACCATGTAAAGATCATTGGGTAGCTTCTGAAGCTGCGACACCCGCTGTCCCGCTGAATCACGTGACTGTTTTTAGGAAGACGATCGCACATCCGCTCTTTTTGTGGAGTCAAATATAAATAGTAAAGTGAAACTGATGGACTGTTATGAGTTTTCCCACTCGACTAGCGCCATCACTGTTACAATAGGTAAAGAGGCTATACATCTATCAGCTGGGATACGTTGGTGCCAATAGGGATTTCATACTTAAAGACACATCAACCACAGATGGAGTTGAGTTTTCTAGGTCTTGACTGAGATGTTTAAAAGGTCATCAGTAACACGTGACACTCGTTATGCTAGGTGAGCTGTCTGTCAGGATTTCTTGGGGACATTGATTTCTTTTTGCCTCCTCTCAGCTTGCACTCGCCAGTTTCTTCGAGGATGGAGCTGATGACGACATAGTGACTCTTCCTCAACCTGAGATCGGCTCCTCGGTGTCCCGGTCTGCTGGGCCCAGGTACCGTTTACAGCCGGCCAAACTTCAGTGTGATGAAAATGTATTGGGCGCACATGAGCGGCTGTGCATTGTCCAGTCGAGTTTAGCAAAACATTCTGGGCCAAAGAGTCTTTGTTCATGAAATTTAATTTGGTAACGCACAGATTCAATGCAACAAACCTACTTTTTTTCCCCTATATCATCAGCGCTCAGCCCAGAGTGACGTCCTTCAGAGATATGATGCATGAGGCAGAGGATGAGAGTGATGAGGAGGAAGGCCAAAGGTGAGTTAAATTGTGTTGTCCGTGTCCATCTTTAGCAAATGTGTCACGTGCTTTTACAGAGCCAGATGAAGGAATAAGGCAAGCTTATGTGTCTGCTTTGCCCTCCTCGCAAAACTCAGATCAGAGTTGGTTGAAAATCGATCATGGGCCCAGTAGAGACTGAGTGTCATGCTTCAAGTTAATGACTAAAGTCACTGCCCAGGTGATTGTGTGATGTAACTGTAGCCATTGGAGGTCTTTCTCATCCTCATCCAGGTGTTTGTGACAATTGGTCATGGCTGTAGACGTGGCTGTCTTGTCTGAGCATCCTCACGGTGTTGGGATGGTAGAAGTCACACCTAGCAGGGGTGATTCCAGAATGCACCAAACTATTTTTGGTCTCTCCTCATTCACTGTGAGCCGGTCGGCCGTGCTTTTCTGCAGCGTCGGCAGATTCTGCTGCCAGGGCGGTGCAGTGGACTGGTTGTTAAGGGGATGTGTTGGGTTGCTAATGTTCTCTTCTTCTTTTTTTTAGTACAATCAGTAAGAAAGCTGAAGTAAAGGATAGTACACGTGTTATCTAGAGTCAGTTATAATTCCATGCGTTATTTACATTTGCCACAGTTCTGTTTCGCAGTGCCTGATGGCTTTAATATTTACTTATGTTCAGCTGACATGCTTGAGGAGCATTGAGGTCATATTTCTTTGTGTGTTTTCATATCTCCTCCTACCAGGTAACTCTCAGTAGGGCTGTATCAAATGTCATTTTTCTTTTTACGCTTTGAATGTCTTTCGTCATATGTTATGACGTTATCGTCCCTAAAAATATGGGCGAAATATGATTTAGTGTTATTGTGGTTATATAAATGTAATCTATGGTGCTGTTAGGTTGTTGCTAGACCTCCCCGTTTATACAGGTGTGTACTGTAAACACTTTTGACCACCGTAACAATGTTTTTTTTATTATTAAAGGCAATACGGCAACAAATAGGGATTGAAGCAGATTTTCTTGGCTGAAAACATGTTGTGAATTGTAGAAATGATTAAATGTCTAATTTTTCTCTAAAGTTTAACTTTTGGACTGATGACTGAGAGAAGTCTCTCGCTGTATGTGTGTTTGAGACGGAGTGGAAGAGAAGGCGCTCTATTGCACGCAGTGTTTCTGTCAGTTAGTAATATCTGCCAACTGTTATTAAGGTGATGACGTTGACCTGGAGGATTACTATAACTACAAATATCTGGGTGTTGTCTTGATGACAAACTAGCTTTGAACCCTGTTCATGCTGCCACTTCTAAAAAGGCAAGCAAAGAGATGCTGACTCTTTTTATAGATGTTTCATTCAATGTGTTTTAGCCGTTTATTGCTGTTGCTTGGTTTTGAAATCTAAATCTGTCCAATAAGAATAGACTTGGAAGTCTTGTTTCAGGGGAGATGACCAATCACAGTTCTTGCGGCTCCCACGTAGTATCCTCATAGCTGCCATGGCCCCGGTGTATAGTTACATTTGAGAGGAGGCCCGCGTCACCCGCTGCGTAGCGACAGCGCCAACGCATGCAGCTACATTGTCACAGGTGTCGTAGACCACCAGCTAGTTGTAAGCTGTGGGAGTGAAAAACGTCCGACCTCACAATCTCCTTGTCCTCATCTTTGTAGGTGTTTTGATGCCTAGCATGCCAGCACTAATACGGCAGGAGCTTGTTTTTTTTAAAGTTGATGACATTACGCTTTAGTGCTATGGTAACCTAGACATTCATCGAATCATCATACCTCAAAATAGATTTTTAACCAGTGTGACATTCAGGGGACTTTTTGTTGTTAAACATGTTGCACCTTTTTGCGTCTGCTGTTTTGCTCGTATTGTTTAAGAGTTCCTCACCATCTTAATTCACATCCTGCCAGGTTTTTCGCGGGGGGCTCAGAGCGCAGTGGGCAGCAGATCGTCGGACCTCCCAAGAAGAAGAGCTCCAACGAAGTGGTGGAGGATTTGTTCAAGGGGGCGAGGGAACATGGGGCTGTGCCGCTGGACAAGCCTGGGAGAGGCCCAGGGGAGAGCAGCAAAGCCAGGGTGAGGTGAAACTTGGTGCTGCATCTGCACTGTCTTATACATCAGTTTGTTATTGCTCAAACAGCTGTAACGGCTATTTCATCTGCTTCTTTTTCTGTTTGTAATTTGTTTTTTTTAATGTCTCCTGTCACCACTAAGGCCTTCATTGGTGGCGGCTACAGGCTAGGCGCAGCTCCCGAGGAGGAGTCAGCCTATGTGGCTGGAGAAAGGCACGGCTCCAAAAGCCAGCAGGATGTGAGTGCAGATCCTGATGGGTCCTCTTTTTTCAGTTATTGCTTTGTTTCTTGCATCATTGGTAGTAGTCAAGTCCTCTAGGAGGATCTCAGCCAATAGAGCAAACGATCAGTCCACCTAGTTCACTGCTAATTGTTCAAATGTGTATTTCTGCACACGCACAAGGAATAGCATTGTTTTTATGAAACATTGTGATGCATTCATTCAGTTTTTACCATCTCTATCTGTAGGGAAATAACATCCATATTGAAGTATGACCTCGGTCACATGAAGTGTGTGTGTGTGTGTGTGTGTGTGTGTGTGTGTGTGTGTGTGTGTG